AAGTCCAGCGTGCTGTCCGCTCGGCTCGACCGGGGCAGCAGGTAAATAAAATATAATGCCTAGTCTTTTGGAAGAATGAAGACCACAGTTAAAATTCACACCTTACCTTGAGTTTACATTTAAATGATTTTGGGGATTAGCGTCCCCGTGGCCCGGTCCTCGACCAGGTTGTTGGACACGGCTGCTCACAGCCTCACATGAGTCACAGCCTGGTTGATCAGGTATCTTTTGGAGGTGCTTATCAAGTTCTCTCCTGAACACTGTGAGGGGTCGGCCAGTTATGCCCCTAATGTGCGGTGGAAGCATGTTGAACAGTCTCGGGCCTCTGATGTTGATCGGGCCTGTTGATAATTTATTATTTATATATCCACAATACTATCCAGGCTCAGTCTCCTGAGCACTTAATCCTCAGCCAACTTTGCACTGGTCCACCAAATCCTAATCACTACACCATCCTCGTCTCTGGAGGTCAATTTATCTCTCAAATTGTTTTGTGATTAGCGAGTTCAAAAACAGTTTTGGGAAGAGTTGAGTATTTTGTGATTTTCCTTTTGACCACAGGCAGTTGATCTCTGATTTGCATGAGCCTTCTTTTGGAAGGAGTAAGAGAGAAATGAAAACACAACTGAAAAGGTGGTTGTTTTCATTGGGTTGTGAGTCACCTAAAGCCTGGTATGGTTATTGTCCTACCCATACTGGTGAAGGAAGCAGAGGGAAGCTACACAAGTACAAGGTTAACCTTTTTTTTTCTTGTATACTCAATGCTTGATTTTGTTATATAGTGCTGGAATGGTTTTTTTGAATGTAGTTAATTTTTTTTATAATCATATTTATACTGTATTGTGTTAATACACATTTTTCTTTACAGGTACAAAATTCGTTTGTTCTCTCAAGATTATAACGTCTCGGAAATTAAATTGAACGCCGACATGAACAGCAGAGATGACAATCTTGCTAACTCTAGGAACTGTTCAGAAGTTTCAATAGGGGATGAAAGTTATAATTATAACCACGAGGAAACCACAAACATTGTTCCAAGTGTTGACACAGCCATTTGTTCAACTCCAGAACGGCATTCTTTATATGCCATAAGTTTAATTAATCCTCAAGAGAACATAGATATTGAAAAGAAGAGCCTTAAGAAACAAGATCTTGATGAAAATTACAATCACATAATCTCAGGTATGCAATCAATTGTATAAAAGCTTCTACTGTGCTTGTATATAAAAAAATATGCCTTTCTAGTAAATTTGAGTATATAATATAATTGGAATTTCCCATAGTGTGGATACTCAATGTAAATACTATACCATAAATGTAATTATAAAATTATCGTCCACACTTCCGTGAAAATAATCATTTTATTCACCTGGGCTCTCGGAGACTCAAACTACGGACCCCACTTGTGTGAGGCCGAAGCTCTTTCAACTGGGCTATCGAGTTTTTCAGAAGATTCCAGATTCCAGAAGCATCTTCGGCTACCATGCTGGAGTTTAAGACTTTCCCCGACTACTACTGAAGCTCAGAAGAATTAGTGATCCACGCCCGCGTCATATAAATTGTCATCAACACTTCCATGGAAATAAACATTTCATTCACCTGGGATCTTATATGATGCGAGTGTGGATCACTAATTCTTCTGAGCTTTGTAGCAGCACTGCAGAAGTTGCCTTTGGAATCTTTCCTTATTAGGACTGCTCGATAGCCCATCCGATAGAGCGTCGGCCTCACACGCGTGTCAGCGGTTAGTCTCCGAGAACCCAGGTGAATGAAATATAATTATATTAATGATACTAGTATATGTTTTTGTGTTGTGAAGCTGTTTATACATATGAACAACAGAACAGTGAACTCTGTTTTATGCAAAAGTACTTAATACTTAAACGACTCGCATTACCTCGGCATGATTCTGCGCAACACTTCCATCGTTCTGCAGTGGTTGGCTCAAGCCCATAATAATTTTTATGCTCCACAGAATCTATGGTGATATCCACCCTTAGAGGCATTGAGTAATCGTCTCCCATTAAAGAAAAAAAAATTGAGCATGCCGCAGTATCCCTTCAGGACAGCATTCAAGTGAGGAGCAGCAGTGAGGGTGGGAGGGAGGGAAGCAGTGAGGGGGTGGAAGAGCAGCCGTGAGGGGTGGGAGGGAGAGAAGCAGTGAGGGTGGGAGGGAGAGCAGCAGTGAGGGTGGGAGGGAGGCTTCCAAGAAAGCTTGCACATTCCCTATGGTCCTCATTGTTACTGTAAGTACTAACCAAACAAGGAGGATGGGTAGAATATTATTATGTACTTTATTGTGAAGAGAAATATATACCAAGTGGTGAACCAGAGTATATCCAAAAAGATGAGACGAGAGAGATGGAAGTGGTGTGTGTTATGAGCCATGCTTTGACTTGCTCACTGCTGTATGCTGCATCCACATTAACCCCCATATACAGGATTGTGATTTACCGTATCAGGAGAGTACAGTAGTTTAGTGAAATATCTTAATGTTGAAAGATATTTAGGTAAATACAGATCTAACACAACCCATCTTTCTTCAGCATTTTTTAAATATAAAAGTACAGATTTTTTTTATTTTATTATACAGTACTGTACATTCATCATTTTGACCATGGCACATGATAGAGCATTCATTGATGAACAATTCCACATAAAGATTATAACTGCTGTATAGGACAGTTATTCATGGATGTGCATATTACGTAATAACCTCAGCCATGTTAACACTTTCGCGCTTTAGATTAGAGATAACTCGTCGCCGTTTTTTCTTACGATTCCGCATAACAGCCTACTTTTCTCGTCCATCGAAAAAATATTTCTATAAATTCCATTTTTTAACCGAAATGGATGGGGATACTTTTGTTTTGTAGAGAATTTATTTGTGAATTTTTTGGTACCAGAATGAATATTATATCACAAACTTCTAATGAGTAAAAAAAAAATACACAAAGTATGTTTGGGGGTGTGGCGAGCGTGTGGCAGTGGGTTCCCTTTAGCCGTTGATATATCCAACACGTGGGAAATATTTGTATGTGTTATGTATATGTCTGTGTAGGGAATTTTACTGCGATCACTGTCATACAAATTATAAAATGTTTCAACAAGTATAAACATGACAAACATCAAACGAACGAAAACAATGCGTTCGTTTCTGCCGCGAACGCATACTGAGTGACGTGGTTCTATATTTGGCGCTTCTCTTACACATGCTTTGTACAAATGTTATACATTTCATCTTATAGAAAATTTTATTGCGAACACATTGGTATAAAAAAGAAATACGTACATAGAAAAGTAGGGTCAGGAAACGTATAAACTTTCCAAGCATGATTTCCCCCCTGTGTTTTCGCCAGTGCGCTCGCGGCTAACTACTCTCCACTTCACACACTCTTGCGGGTGGGCAATTACCTATATTAAACATTCATATGCATATGTCCGTGTAGAGAATTTTATTGCGATTCCAATGATACCAAAATTAGCGATGTAGGACAACTGTAGGCTTCGCAACCATTAAGAGAGTGGAAACATTTTGTTGCTGTTTGGCGCTCTCGGCGAGTGATCTGCATAGTTTTTTATTTGGTGTTGATACTCCTTATGCTTGGGCGGCATTTTATAGGTTTAGGTTTAGGTTTTTATAGGCTCTTATAGACAATTTCATTGCGAACACAGTGATACCAAATTTAAATACGTGCGCCTTCAATTATTGTCAGGACAGTCAAAAGAGTGTACACTTTTTCGGTCTTACCGCATAGGTGCGCGAAGTGCCGAAAGCATCTGGGGTATTATTTTTTTTTGAGCGCCGAGAGCGCGAAAGTGTTAACCATAGTTAACATGCTCGAACTCGGCCAGTCTCGATATAAAAATAATAAAAATTACATGTTATGCATTCCTCATTTTGATTATGGCATATGATAGAGCAATCATTGATGAACAGTTTGCTGTCAAAATTATGTATACTTGAAGACCCACTGTATTTTGATTAATATCTAAATACCTGTATGTATTTTCTCTAGAAACATGACTAGGGGTGTAATCTTATAAACTTGTCTTGTAATGCATTCCATCAGGGTTTCCATTAAGGTATTATTTAGATACAGTAATATATATTTAAATCTAATTTGAACACCAATAACAAAACATTAAGTGACCCAATACCTGCTAGCTTTACCCCCTAGAAGCTGATACCTTGTGATGGTTGTGGGGTAAAGTCTGGATGGGTTAACTAGCAACTAGCAGATCACTTCTTGGCTGTCTTTTTGGCACTTAAGTAGCAGCTGGAAGGCATTGATGAATGTGTATAAATGTCGGTTTTTGCACCCGAATCATTTGTTCTTGAACGATTGTGCATTTTTGCGTTATATGAACCTTTCAATTTATGAAACTTCTAAATTTTACAGAGTGTGACAGCGACAGCAGTAGTGTCGTGCCGTTAAGTGCACTGCCCCGTGTGACACTTCCTTTACTCCAGCCATCTATGGACGGTCAACCACGACCTGTTATGCTGGTCCATGTTAACACACCTAATCACTTCTACCTACATCTTGTCAACAGTGAAACTGCATCATTGGATAGGTGATTATATGGTGTCCCAAGCGGCAGAGATACTTCACGGTTTTGGAGACTCTTTTCTTACGTTTCCACAGCTTTGTATTTAGATATTTTGAGAATCCTTTTAGTGTGCTTGATGTAAAGTTCTCTGGGGAAATTTAGGCAGTGTAGCCAGTGGTGGATGACTTTCAATGCAGTCAGTTTGGTACTGGTCTTTGTTTTTGTACGATTGTGTCGACAAATCGGTAAAGCTTTATTAAATGTGTACTCCAGTCTCAATTGGCAAGGCTTCATTAAACTTGCTCCACATATAATGAACTCCACAATCTTAATTATCAGAAATGTTTAAAAATTATTAAAACAAATTGTAACATTTTAAACCTAAATTAGAATATGCAGCTGTTTTTCGGTGCTCACATCTCAACTAAACATATACTGTACCTGTAGAGACAATATAAAAGGATGCAAAGGCTAAATGGTTCCATGCCTAAAAAAAAAAAAAAAAAGTTCTATGAGAGGTCTCCCCACAAGATCGAATTACTGACCCCACCCAGGATGCAACCCCACAACAAGCTGACTGACTCCTGAGTATCTACTTACTGCCAGTTGAACAGGTGCATTAGGTGATAGGAAATGTGCCCAACCATTTCTGTCCTGCCTGGGATATGAACCCGGAATTCTCAATTGTGAGTTGAGAACAATCCCGACTGTACTATCAGGATCGACTGTACTATTGGTACTGCCGGGATAAAGGTGGTAAGGAAAAAATCGTTTAAAATCTGCAACAATAAAACAAATGGTCATGGACTCAAAGGAAGAAAAGAAATGTGCCAAAAATTTTCATGTAATTCTCCTTTGCAAACAAGTGGTAGAATTGTGGAATAAGTTAAATTAGGGTAGTACATGTCATAGCCATCAAAATCAAATACTGTAAAAAGTATGTACTAAAAAGTATGTACTGTACTAAAGCCTGTACCGGCATGAAAGTAATATCACACAACTTTGTGCAGGTTGCGGTTACCTTGCGATGATTCCTGGGCTTGGTGTACTCGCGGCCGAGTCCTCGACCAGGCCCCCTGCACACCATATACTGTATATAAAACACAAAATTTTGCCTCTTATCTTTGTTAGGTTATCTTAGATTGGGTTGGGGGATAGATTTTTTTATAGAGTAGTGCAGAGGGGTACATACTTACACCCTACTCTCAAAATCTCCAGAACTTAAAATTACATAAAATATAGAGAATATGGGGTACCATGAGCATAGCTTTCATCCTTTAGCTACATTTTAGTAATTACTTACTCTCACACATACACACACACACACGGGGTACCTAGTTAAGAATGATAGGAATGTATAGCTCTTTGGTTACTCTATTCGAAACTGACAACATGAAGGAAATAGGGCCTATGCTGTGATATGTAATCTTCATCCTTATGCTTAGAAAAGCGTTTCTAAGACATGTAATGTTTGTCTAGGTCTTCTGACCTTCAGAAAAGGTGTTTGAACCTGTTAAATGCTGCCATCTAAATACTACAACACTGGATGATTCAAATGTCATCCAGTGTTGTAGCACCAAACACTGGCAATTAAGCCTCTTTCAAGCCCCCAAACTCAAACCTCAAATCTATTTTAAATGATTTTCTATACATAATTTTGGTATGTTTATATACAGTACACCACGTTTGTTTATGAAAACATTACTGTGCACTCTCCCAAATCCAGACTTTTTATTTTCCTATTTTGTACTATAAGCATTACAGAAATGAGTGTCCTCACCTCATGAAAAGGGAACCCAGAGAACTGATAATTATAATTATGCTGGAATAGGAGACAGGATCATCCTTGATTACCATAAAACAAAAGAATTATAAGTAGATTTTTATTTATGCAAGAAAAGTGGGTTGAGTTTGTTTGCTTAAATGTTTCAGACGTGTTTTAATCACATCTAATTCTTATTCAAATAACGTTGTCCTATTCAGGTTTTGTGAAACAATGAATGACAAGTATAAGGATGATGATGAAATATTACATGTGATTGAACTACCAGTAAAATCCTGCTGGGCAGCACGATGGTCGGATGGCATGTGGTATAGAGCTCGTATTCTTGCCAATATCATCTCATCACCGGAAAAGGTAAGAAATTGTTTTAAGCACATTTGAGTTGTCATAAGATAGATCTTTGTTATGTGAAACTATGTACAAGATAGCTGGCAGTGTACTGTGCACATTAAGTATCTGCAGTAGGCATACATCATGAGTTGATAATGTGTGATTATTTTTTTGGGCTGACTCCTCAGTAGCTTTTTACACATCTTATGTCACCAGTACTCTTACCCACTAGGACTAAACACCATTTTCCACACAGCCTAGACCCTTGTTGAAGGGCCTTGGCTATCTGCTGAGGCTTCACTTTTTGAAGGATCTTGGCCCTGGTATCTACAAATAGTCCCTTATCTTCCTCCTGAGGTAAAACAACTAAAAACTTCATTCAGCATCTTTTTGATGGACAACATTTTTGTGGCACATATAACTGCTTGATCTATGGATTGGATGAGAGAGATGGTATTAAAGAGCTCCTGTGCAAATGCCAGCATTTGTCGAGCTATAATATTTTACAGGCCAATTGTTCAAGCAATGTTTTAAGGGTCTTAGTTTCTTGGAATTGCCAACAGTTGCACATGTGATTGTGTGTGTGTGCTATCAGCATTGGCACACACCATTGCTGACAAACTGTTCTTCTTAACTTCGCACACTGGCACACTAGATTCATTCCTCAGAGCTAGAGTTTTTTTTCAGGCAAATTTCTCCAATACAGACCTTTTATCACCATTACTGATTTGATATTGATATAGAGTGTTAGAAAAAAATGTGTATTCTTAATTTACTTGAATGGCTCAACACTGCCCCTATCATCTCAAGAAGATAATCTCAAGATAATCATATCCAAGAGGCCTGGATATGATATGACATATCCGCTCAATTTTTCACAGATAATTTTCCTCTTCACAATGTTGTGCCTCACTTTCAATCTGGTAATCACACCATCACTTGCCATGAAAACTGATAGTCCAGGGCTGGTTGCAAACTTACCTGCTGCATTCCTTATTTCTTTTTCTGTAAATTGTCATAACCATTGTGTGGTGCTGTGCAAGAAAGTTACACTGCCTCGTCCAATTATGCATTCTGTGAAGGCTTCAATGGTTTTTCTATTGCCAACTCAACTAGTCCTTGCTCCCTCACTCTCACTAGTAGCCATGTATCTGATGTATTTATCTTTAAATTTCCCTATATCAGTGATGCTGCCAATTTTCCGGGTAGATGGGACTCGTTAGCCTGGGAAGGCAGCTCATTTAGGGGAAAGGAAAACCCTGATTCTAAACCTCCTCTGCCTTGCGGCCATAGCCCTCTTTTGGGAAAGGCTTCAGGAGTCAACCTCGAGGAAAAATCATAAGTTGGAAGCCCTAAGGCAGTTCGTTGTCGACTCCGACCTTGCTCTGGCAGCTCCTGCGACAGTGCTGGAACCATGTGTATTGGCATTTGCCTTTCCCTTGGATAATTTCACCCACGTGGAGAGGGGGGACCTGCTGCATGGGTAACAGCTTCTCCTCCATATTGACGTACCCAGGCTTTGCGCCCTGGAGAGCAACCAGAGCGCAACTCCATAGTCTCCCGAGACTAAAGGATGCCTACTACTATCAGTGATGGTACTTGCGGCTATTTCAAAATCCTTGGCGACACTCGCAGCAGACTGACCATTTTCACAAAGTTCAGTCACACGTAACTTATCTTTAATGGATAGCATAGCTTGCTTCCTTTTAACATATCCAGCTCAATTGCTGCTGCTACCAGACATGCCAAAAATGATCAAAGTTACTATTAAAACTGAAAGTTAGGAAAGAAATTCTTTTAGCAATGATGTGGTACTGCAGAATTGCACAAAGGAAATGATCACATGGTTAGGTAGATTAATTGGGCCTGGACAGGTCTGCTTAGCACACATTAGGTAGGCTGCCATACAGAAAATAAATCACCTATTTTAACAGGGAAGTACCCTGTACCTATACATACAGTTTTTAACAATTAACATTTATCTTAATATTAGATATGAAATAAAGAAATATAATTAATGCATTGTTTTAATGTAATTTGTGTTTTGAGCAAAGGATGCCACATATTGTTCAGTTGTTAAATGGCAAAATAGCAGTAACCTGAGTTGGCTTCGAGTAAACACGACCTAAATTTTTTCTAGTTTCTCGTCTGGCAAAAAAAGGCAAAAAAATTTAACTCATACACTCTTCAGGTTAAAAGGACTAAAACAGGTAAATAACTCAAACATGGAAAGCTTGAGGATTACAGTACTATTCAAATTTTTGGGTTAGTGGATAGTAGATTACCAAGCACGTACTGTGTTGTCCTATGTGAACATTAATGGTGACATAAGGTAATTGGAACTATCGAGGTACAGCCCAGAAAGAGACCATTCTCTTGCTCTTAATATATTTTGAGTGTTAAGTGTCAAGTGTTATTTATTTTACTTTTCTCTTTTTCATATTCTTATTTATGTATCTAAATTGACCTAATTCTCAAATTATATCTTTCACCAGAGTTCACATAAGAAATGCCCAAAAGTGAAGGTTCTATTTATTGATTATGGAGATGAAGAAATACTGAGCATTAAAGACATCAGATTCTTGCATGAAGATTTTACACTCCTGCCTTCCTTGGCTATACCATGCTGCCTTGCCCAGGTAGGAATATAGATTCTTTTGTTAGTCATAAGTAACATATTTTCCTCTACAAATTTAAGATATTGTCTTTTCTATTATTGGGGGTCAGGAACATTCCTAGACCAACAATTGACCTTTTCCAAGATGTGACCCATACCAGCTACCTAACTTTCAATTACTCTACCTATTTACTGCTAAGCAAACCTAGGTCATAAAAGTATTTGTGTGTACATCTGATACCATACTACTTGTGAAGGAGGAAATGTATATGTTTATCTCTCAGAATGTTTGGTAATATGTTTATTGTTTGTGATGTGTATCTATGTATATATTAACACGATGTACTGAACGGGGTGAGAATAGCTTGAGCTACCTCATCCTTTTGTGTGTATTTTACATCAATAAACTTATTTCAATTTCAATTTCAATTCAAAGCAAACAGATGTGTGTAAGGAAACTTGCCAAAACATCTTGTCCTTTGCAGGAATTGAACCAGAGATCATTCAGTTGTTAGCCAACTACTCTGACCACAGGTTACAGGTGACCTTTAATATATATTTTAGTATGTTTTCATAATTGTTGTCTTTTTTTTTTTGTATCCTTGCATTGTGTTGCAGTATAGTTTTCATTTAATTAGGGTAACCTTAGGTAGGGATTCATAAGATTTAACTTTTTAAAGGTCAGTTATCCTCATTCAGTATTTTGAGGATAATGCGCTTACTATCGCGCCGATTTTAGTTATTGCCCAGTTTTATAAGAATGATGTAAATATTGTTACAATACTGTACATCTAATTGGATGTAATGAAGTTAACCAAGAACTTATAACAAAATTTTGTTTTTGTTTTTATTGGTAACTATGTGATGAAGTTATTGTGTACATGGCCTGTGATTATTAGCAAATTACAGATTGATTTTTCTTGTTGGAATTTGAACTTATTTCTGGATGACATTCTCAGAATAGCAGTAAAGGAATGTGTTATATAGGTGTACATATTACAAATTTAAGTCAATGTACAGTACTCAGCCACTGTTTCTGGAGGAGCCTCTTGGTGGCTACTGAAACTATCTCACTGAGGTGGCTCCATACTAAAAGGTCACATCAGTCACAAAAGTTCTGCTTAGCTTACTGGAGATCAGAGCCAGAACCTGACCTACCACAGAGGCACAGGGAGCTGGGGATTGTTATAATCACCAACACCAAGAAAGCATCCAGAAAGTCAAGCAAATTCCATAACAGGCAATACAAAGCAAGGTTCACAGAAAACAAAGTACTAAAAAAGCCAAATGACTCCGCAGAGGATTCATTCAAAACGGTTGATTTTCTCAAAATTAGCTCAAATCCCCCTAATGCAAATTGTTGCCAACAGGTGGTGCCCCTGGGACTTCCAGCCTTCCACCCTGGCCATTAGCTAGTCCCGTTGCCGATGTTAGAGCAATCATTTTCTGAACATCCCGAGTCATCAAGCTACTTGGTGGCCAGCTTAACCTTGCTTTGTGGCTGTTCTGGTGCAGTGTTTGGCCCTGGACATTTTTGCATAGCTCCACCTCTTTCAGTAGAACAGCCCAATACCTGACCTTCTTTGTAGATCCACTCGTCTGGAGTTTCTAAAGTGAGTTTACCACCATTTGTATGGTGCGCAGACAGCTAAATTGTTGATACCTTACATACATCTTTTGTTGCGGTGAATCATGAGGTTGAATTCTTACCAACAATGATGATGAATTCTTATCAACATCAAAGGCCCAAGACTTTTCAACACACTCCAACACAAAGGGGCATAACTGGCCAACCTCTCACTGTTAAAAGTGAGAACTTGATAAACTTATTCAAAGGATATCTCATCAACCAGGCTGTGATTCATAAGTCAGGAAGTAGTTGAGAATTATTTAAGCTGTAAGGGCCACACATCTTTGTCCCTAGTAGTTACCTAAGTGTAGTTACAGGATGTGAGCTTCGCTCGCAGTGTCCCGTCTTCCCAGCACTCTGTCATATAACGCTTTGAAACTACTGACAGTTTTGGACTCCTCCACCTTCTCATCTAATTTGTTTCAACCGTCTACCCCTCTGTTTGCAAAAGTGAATTTTCTTATATTTCTTTGGCAGCTTTGTTTAGTTAGTGTAAATCTATGACCTTGAAGTTCCAGGTCTCAGGAATTCTTCCCTATCAATTCCCGTTACTATGTTGTATGTAGTTATCATTTTACCTCTTCTTCTTCCATCTTCTAGTTTTTGCATATTTAATGCCTCTAACCTCTCCTCATAGCTCTTGTCCTTCAGTTCTGGGAGCCATTTAGTTGCATGCCTTTGTACCTTTTCTAGTTTGTTGATATGCTGCTTAAGATATGGGCACCATACAACCGCTTCATATTCCAGCTTTGGTCTAACAAAAGTCGTGAACAATTTCTTTAGTATTCCACCAACCATGTATTTAAAACCAATTCTGAAATTAGAAAGTGTAGCATAGGCTCCTTGCACGATGTTCTTTATGTAGTCCTCAGGTGATAGTTTTCTATCTAGAACCACCTCTAGATCTCTTTCTTTATCAGAATTCTTTAAAGATTTTTCACATAATTTATAGGTTGTGTAGGGTCTATGTTCTCCTATTCCACATTCCATAACATGGCATTTATTCACATTAAATTCCATTTGCCAAGTGGTGCTCCGTACACTTATTGTTTCCTATACCATGCATACACACAACCAGTGGTGCTATTAAGACTTATTTTCCCTTATCTCGCTCCTTGTTGCCTGAATCTGGATAATAAAATACATATAAAATCAGGGTGGTGGCATGGTAAGAGTTCTTTATTATACCTTGTTGTTTAAGTGGGGTTAGGTAGTGTTATATAAGCAGTAGCAGCAGTACTTGTGCCTTACATTCACACTCTCGCATTCTCTTCCTCCCTCACTCTTTCTCTCCCTCTCTTGCATGTTCTTCCCCCACTTCTACCCTCTCTCTCTCTCCCTCACTCACTCTATTGCCATCTCTTCCCCTTCTCCCCTCTCTCCCCTTCTTCTCCCCTTTCTTGAAAGATCTCAACGAATGCGGTCATTGGTCCACCTGATGTGCACCAGCAGTATCCACAGTGCAATTGCAATAAATTTAGGTAAAATCTAGTTGTTATAAAAGATGTCAAAAATGTATTCATTAGAAGATGGCAAAGATTGTTACAGAAACATATTGAGTGAGCCCTAGAGTGCCAGAGCATTAAACTAGGGGAGCTACTGAGGTGTCACCCAGAAAAGACATGTCATTACACTTAATGCTTTGTTGATTCAGTTTGTGGGAAAGGAACAGTTTTTTTTTTATATAGGCAGGACATGTTTTTGGGGTGTTCACAGTCCTGTAGGGGAAGGGGAGGGGAGGGGTGTGTCTGGGAACTGTGCAGTTGACTGTATACTATTTTTATAATATGCAATCCTTTCAATTTTGAACAATCTTTTACAGTCTTTTCATTGCTCTTATGAAAAAATGACTAAAACTATTAGATATTTTGCAGGTATTTCCTCCTGCCCAAAAAATGATAGGGAGTGGTTGGCCTAGTGACAGTATCAAGAAGTTCTTGGACTTGTGTGGTGGGACTTGGTCTGTCTTGTTTGCAAACTTTCAACAATGCCATATGTGAGTTGAAGTAAATTACCACATTTTGTTTCGTAAACACAAATAAAGAGTAAAAGTTAATGTAGACTGCACAAACTAGAAATTGCTACTTGTCAAACTAATATTTTTGGGTCACATTTGTACTTCCCTTTTGAAATTATAAATCACAAATCATATTGCTACAGGCACAATGCACACGTACTGTTATTACTGGACGCATACAGTCGTGGAAAGTTGTTTTTAATAGTGAAATTCCTTATACTACTCCCAATTTTCCATCTGATTTTCATTACAGACCGGCTTCTTCAATTCAGGTGTGGTTACTGCAGGATCTTGGTATGATTGATTGACATTCAATTTGCTAATAAAACTACTCGCATTTCCCCTTGAACTGATTGCTTACTCATTTAAAGGAAAAATGGCAGTCATTTCTTGGAATAACTGAATGTATAAACAAATTACTTGGGTTTGTGAGAACTTGATGTCTTAAGGCTCATCAAGAATAGACGCAGAAAAGCACACTTTCATTGCCCCTTGATTGACTTTTTTTAATTATTATTATTATTATTATTATTATCTTGTATACTTGTCTGGTAGCCAGTTTATCTCACATAGTGTCTCCAGAAACTGTATATATTTTTATTAGTATCTTTTATGCTTGCTTCATGGTTAAGCGTTGGGCTTCAGTCTTCATTATGCACTGTATACGCTTCAGTTTTTGACCTGATGTCAGCTATGATTTCAGGGATGTCTTCCCTAGTAAGCTGCTTAAACAAAACTATCAGGTACAAGAGTGTTCTTCTCTGAGGATAGCAGGGATTCCCCTAAGGGTTGGCTCCTTTTCGGTTCTTCCTTATCAGGGGTACTGGCCTAGGATTTAGTTACCAAGGGAGACGTGTCCACGTGGATGACAAAAGAAATCTTGGCATGGCATGAGTGTGGGGCCTAACGTTCATGGCTGGACTGCTGGACTTCAGCAGTTTTTCAGCAGATGGTGTTTAACAAAATGTGTTTTTGTTGGTGTAGCATGAAAATCTCTGCTCAAATGCTTGGTTTTCCACTCAGAGCGAGCATCGGGCAAGTTTTCAGTCATGTACATTGCCTAAGGTGAATTTGCTTCATATAAGCTGGTGAATTTTATGAACCATTTTCCAAGTTCAAGACTGGTGTTGTGCACCATTAGCTGGGATATGTTTAGTGGGCTCATTTGTTCTTATGGGGTATAATTTTATTAGATCTCACAACCTCACGTAAACAGTCAGTAGTTACCAGTTATTCCATGTTAATAGATAGAATAGAGTTGCAGGCTTGCTTCACTGATTCCAAAAGCTAACCACAGTACCTTGTCTGTAGGTGGCTACTTGCAAGCCTGAAGTGCTCTCCTCCTCTGGATCTATCACAATTGTGTTGACAGTTGTCCAAAGGTCTCCTCCCACCTGATATTGCATCCTGCCACGCCTCTGGCATTCACCAGTTTGTCGATTCTAAGACCTCAGACACGTAACTGTCTCCTGGCTGAACTGACTGATACCTTCTCCAAATGAGGCTTTGACTAATATATACTCTTCAAGGGGGTGGCATATCATTACTTGATGTTAGTATTACTCTGTCCTCACTCCTCGTACTATTATTGGCTTATTACCTTCAGACCTTATCAAGTTTGCACAGGCAATGAATTTGCAATGAATCCTGCAACAAATTTTTATGTATGCCACTATTTACCCGTGATTCTGTAGTCTAAGATGGTGATTCAAACTACAGTGTATTTTTCTGTCGGTGCCATTTTGAGAAACTGACAAATATTTCAATTTCTTTCTTTATTATGTACCCCATACCCATCCCCATGGGCGGTGGTGTAAAGGATTACAGAGGCACATAATCAGTTCAGGAACTGAACCCTCTAGTTTGCTTAGCTAAGCAAATAACAATCTTTTGATGCTAGTTACACAATTATTAATGTTATATATATACATGTACTCATATACATACATATACATATATATACATACACACATCAATAATCTTTTGTATCACAAGTGATTCAACAAGAGGCTCACAAGTCACTATACAAAGCACTTTACATCTATAGTGGGTCACACAGTTACTAGTCTTGCTGCACACCCACCCAACTGGGCGGCAGCTTTACAGTCAAATCTAATGGAAAGGCTTTATTAACTTTTTAAGAGGCTTCAGCAGTTTAAAATTATTAGCTTGCTACTATTAATTTTATTTTTCAGGAGTGGCACATACAGCATCATACTCAGGGATTCAGAAGGTGTAGTGGTGAATGAAGAGCTTGTAGCTCAAGGGTTTGCTGTATCCAATTCTACCCCACAAGAATCTGATCATAGTGAAGATCGACAAAAGCACAAAGGTAAATGTCATTTTGGATTCATCCGTAAGTTTTGTATGTATAAAATAGTATATGGTATCAGTTTACATTAAGCAAGTTAACGTTACAAGAACCTTTGGAATTATTAGCAAGTAGTAACTTAAACTCCGCATGACAGTTTTCAGACACATGTTGACCAAACCACACACTAGAAATTGAAGGGACGAAGACGTTTCAGTCCGTCCTGGACCATTCTCAAGTCGATTGTGTATACAGTATACACAATCATGTGTATACTGTATACATGTGTATACAGTATACACATATAGTATGTGTCTTTCAGACACATACTGTATATGTGTAGCGATAAAGCTTGTATGATAGAACTAGTCAAGTTTCTGAAGAAATTAAGTTTCTGCAGTGATTGTGACAGTGTTTGAGATCAGTAGAGCTAGTGGCATATATATGCATCACTTTAAAAAAGTTTATATTTTTTTACTTAAATATTCATCCTTTCCACGTCTTGTTATATAGTGCTTTGCCTGGCTCCTTTTCCTTCATAAGAGCAGGAATAGGTACCATACATACATTGGAGTTAGGAGGATTTTTAATTATCATGAGACACAACATCAAAGGCTTTGCTAAAGTCAAGCAAGATACATAATGTTGATTCTGTTTCACTATCAACTGCTTCAAAATGATGGATAAAGAATAAGAGTAAATTTATTAAATACGAGCAGTGTTTAGTAACCTTGTTGCAAATTCTTTATTAATCTGTTTTTTAAGATATGCACAAATGACTTTTGTGGTTATTAATTCAAACAATTTTCCCATAAACTCAAACAAAGCTAATTGGGTAAAACTTTTCTCAAGCAGTGCATCATTTATTTCCTCTATTTGAAAAAATAATACTGTATCTCTAAATGTTTCAGCCATACACTTCTAAGGCTACATGAGCACAGCCTCCTCAAAGCTACTTCAGGGCACTGTAAATTCAAATAGTTGTCAATAGAACCAAAACACCTTATCTAACTACCCTGGGCATCACTATAAACACAACTATAATGTGTAATAATATTAACTTTATAAGTAACTTGTATACAAGAAGGTACAATGAGTTAAGTTATTTTAAGTATGCTCTCCACTCGGCTCCCTATCCACTTATAGAATGGACAAAACCATTTGAAAAGATAATCATCTCTCTTTTTGATTGAGTCACTGAGAGCATGGCATATTGTGCAATTACAAGTCCATTTAGTAAGGGTAGGGGGAACTACCAAGATGGTGATTATGAGGTGGCGTTCAAACAGTAGTGTTTAATATTTCTCATTGCTCTTGTTTTCATTTTCTTTTAGGTTTGGAGGACATAGGAGATGCTGAGGAAAAGTTACCAGTAAGTCTTTGTTGTTTACAAATTTAAAAGTATTATACTTGCACAATGAAATCACAATAGCATGATGTATCTATGAGAAAATCTTTGGAGCAGGCTGTGGAATTGAACCCACATTCTAGATCACCCCAGTATTATGCTGTTTATAGGTAGAATTATTGAAGTGCAATAGAGCCATAGTAACTTTGTGAGTTATTCCACCTATATGCTACTCTTGAGGTTATCTTGGTTTCGGGGCTTAACGTCCCTGTGGCCCGGTCCTCGACCAGGCCTCCTTTTTGTTACACACCCCCAGGAAGCAGCCCGTAGCAGCTGTCTTAACTCCCAGGTACCTATCTACTGCTAGGTAACAGGAGCATCAGGTTGAAAGAAACATTTTGCCCATTTGTCTCTGCCTCCACCGGGGATCGAACCTGGAACCTCAGGACTACGAATCCGAAGTGCTATCCATCCAGCTGTCAGGCGCCCTGGGGAAGGGCGCCTAAGGCAAGACCTGTTCTGGCCCTATTGGAACAGAATCATGAGAGTCAGGGCAGGGTGTCATTCTGCTCTAGCCTGTAGTTCAGTACTTCCTGTCTATACCCTTCTTGTATATCAGGACTACATTAGCAGTGTTCCAAATTTTTGGCAATTCCCATTACCAGTGATTTGTTATACATTATGGCGAGTGGCAGGCACAGTGCTTCTGCTCCTTCCTTCAGTATCCAAGGGGAGATTCCATCTGGGCCTGTAGCCTTTGTTACATCCAACTCTAGTAAACACTTTCTTACTCTCTCACTGGTAATCTCAAAATCGTCTAGTGGTTCCTGGTTAACTATTCCCCCTCTATCTCTGGAATTTCTCCTTGCTCTAAGGTGAAGACCTGGAATTTCTTATTCAGTTCCTCACACACTTCCTTGTCGTTTGTAGTGAATCTGTCTGCCTCTATCCTTAATTTCATTACCTGTTCCTTTACTGTTGTTTTTCTCCTGATGTGGCAGTGCAGCAATTTAGGTTTGGTCTTTGCCTTGCTTGCGATGTCATTTTTGTATTGTCTTTCTGCCTCTCTTCTCGTGTGTGTGTGTGTGTGTAATTACCTAAGTGTAATTACCTAAGTGTAGTTACAGGATGAGAGCTACGCTAGTGGTGTCCCGTCTACCCAGCACTTTTTGTCATATAACGCTTTAAAACTACTGATGGTTTTGGCCTCCACCACCTTCTCACCTAACTTGTTCCAACCGTCTACCACTCTGTTTGCAAAAGTGAATTTTCTTATATTTCTTCGGCATCTTTGTTTAGTTAGTTTAAATGTACGACCTCTTGTTCTTGAAGTTCCAGGTCTCGGGAAATCTTCCCTGTCGATTTTATCAATTCCTGTTACTATTTTGTATGTAGTGATCATATCACCTCTTTCTTCTGTTTTCTAGTTTTGGCATATTTAATGCTTCTACCCTCTCCTCATAGCTCTTGCCCTTCAGTTCTGGGAGCCACTTAGTAGCATGCCTTTGCACCTTTTCCAGTTTGTTGATGTACTTCTTAAGATATGGGCACCACACTACCGCTGCATATTCTAGCTTTGGCCTAACAAAAGTCATGAGCAATTTCTTTAGTATTTTGCCATCCATGTATTTAAAAGCAATTCTGAAGTTAGAAAGCATGGCATAGGCTCCTCGCACAACGTTCTTTATGTGGTCCTCAGGTGATAGTTTTCTATCTAGAACCACCCCTAGATCTTTCTTCATCAGAATTCTTTAAAGGTTTCTCACATAATTTATAGGTTGTGTGGGGGTCTATGTTCTCCTGTTCCACATTCATAACATGGCATTTATTAACATTAAATTTCATTTGCCAAGTGGTGCTCCATATACTTATTTTGTCAAGGTCTTCTTGAAGGGCATGACAGTCATCTAAGTTTCTTATCCTTCCTGTTATCTTAGCATCATCAGCAAACATGTTCATATAATTTTGTATACCAACTGTAGATCATTTATGTAGACAATAAACATCAATGGTGCAAGAACTGAACCCTGTGGTACTCCACTTGTGACATTTCTCCAGTCCGATACATTGCCTCTGATCACAGCCCTCATTTTTCTATCAGTCAGAAAATTTTTCATCCATGTTAGAAGCTTACCTGTCACCCCTTCAATATTTTCCAGTTTCCAGAACAACCTCTTATGTGGAACTCTGTCGAAAGCCTTTTTTAGGTCCAGATAGATGAAGTCAACCCAACCATCTCTTTCCTGTAAAATCGATACACAGGATCTAGCAGATCGAAAATCATACTGTCTGTCTGATTTTATATAATTTCTCTCCAGGTGTTCAACCCATTTAGGTTTTATTATTTTTTCCAAAATTTTCACTATTACACTGTGTGTGTGTGTGTGTGTGTGTGTGTGTGTAACTGATTACTGTTATTGTTTTTGTGTTGTATACTATAGCCATTCAAGCTAAGAAAATTTCTTCATTTTCTTTACTTACCATCACAGTTTTGTAACTTAAGAACATATAAAGAAGCTTTTTAAATATTTAAACTTCAGTACAATATGGGTATTTTAAGTACTACACAATATCTAAATTTGTTAAGTGTGGCATCTTTGTGAATAAATATATCTACTCTCAGGATGGATGGGACCCGATGTCAAGTGCATATCTGGACCACAAAAACACAGTACACCATAGTGATGAATGTGCAGAGACCGTGCTTTATGGAATGAAGAACACAGATGAGACGCGGCTTTGCAAGTACTTTCGCAATGGACGCAGGTGTCCGCGGCGTGAGGCTTGCAGATGGGAGCATTCAAGAGCAAGGAAAGGTGTGTGCCATCTACAGTTCTAGGCATAGCGTGCTGTGTTTGTCTGTCTCCTTTTCCTTTGTGGTCAGACATTGTCATATACACAGTATGCATATGTTTGTTTTTGGAGGGTGGAGAAGGGATGCATGTGCTAAATTTAAATTCAGTGTAGTTAGTTATTCTAATTGTACACTATTCTAGCCTTTTTTTATGCACATTCAGGTGTAACTGTTGAAAAGGAGATAGTACTTCAAGAATGTTTGGAGCCTCATCCATTAGCACTTGAGAATGCCATACTTGCAGTTGTAGTAACATCAATTATATCTCCAAGCAAGTTCCATGTTTATCTTCCATTTGGAAGCAATTGTCTTCAGCAACAAACTGGTAAGTAAATGAAAGTATTTAGATACTTTCATTGTCATAATGATTTTTACAAATGTTACTATATGAAAGGGCTATGTTGATTTATGATTGTCTCATTTTTGTAGAGAGCATGGAAATACATATTCTGAAAAACAAATTGATGGAAACAAAGAATGATTACCTGTTGATGATTTTGAGAGATGTACTGTACTTAGTAGCCTGGCCTGATCTTGCATCATGTCAGTACTGTACAGTTAGATAATTAACCCCTTTTGTATACTCGGCAAGGATAGCTTATATAGTTATACTGTACTAAATTGCCAAACCTGCAATGGTTTGGTTTATATGCTATAATGCATTTCAGGCTATAATGTACTACAGGCTGTAATGTATTACAGGCTGTAATGCACTACAGGCTGCAGTGCACTACAGGGCTGTAAGGCACTACAAGGGTAATTAGTACACAGGTATGAGTGGGTAGAAGGTGGAGGCATAAAGGGGCTTGCTCCCCCATGGTTACTGGAACACACTTCTAGGCTGGGCTCACTTTCAACTCCATGCTTTCAGATAAGCAGTGTCGACTATTCCTGGAAGGTTTAGTTCAGCTTGGAACTATTGCTTTGATTTTGTTCCCTTTCCTGCTTCATATACCAGAATTTTTTTGGCCACTGCTTTACCCACATAATAAATTGCATCTATCAACTCCCTTTAAACACCTCCCAGTCAGTCAAATTCACTCCCTCTGTTTTTATTCTTGTGCATTTTTGTGCAGTACAGTATACAGTATCCACAGAGTTGGGGGAATGGGGGGAGGAAACTTTGTAATTGTAAGAATATTGTATTGTAAGATGTGTGTGTCTGGTTTTGGGGGACCGGGAATACATAACTTGAGTGGCTGCCAAATATATATTCTAGTTAACAATTGCCGAGTTGCTTAGATAATTTGACTTGAAAAATTTTAGTGGGTTTTTATTTTGCAGATTTTGAAGATGAAACAGCTAGGACGCTGGAGTTGTTACTGACTGCAATGGAAAAGTATTACACAGCATCTCGTCAGGTCAATAAGTGTTTACCTGCACCTGGAGAGCTTAAGGCTCTGTGTGAATTAAAGGATGGAAAGCTAGAGTGTTCAAGAGTTCAAATCTTAGATGTAAAAGAAGAAGAGTGTGTTAGCCAAGTACAGGTGTGTGAGTCAAGTCAAGAGAGCTCGTTATGCAATATCATGATTATATTGTCATACTGCCATAACAATTGAAGGAGATTGAAGGAAAAATTACTCCCCAAGCAATAGTTAGAATCCACCCAACAATATATGCCAGGCTCTGTCGACCTTGAACTATGGCACATTTCCTATGATGGGTAACTTCTCAAATGGTCTTGTCATGCAGTATAGGGAAGGGAAACTGCAAAACAGAGCTCATTCACACCATTCGATAGATACTACTCGCTATAACATGGAAAACAAACAAAAACTTTTAACACCACCTCCAAGCAATAATTGGCAGCCTGAAGAAAGACAATTAACTCTGCAAATTATCAACCAACAACCCATTATGCAACTGCCAACAAGTGGTAATCAGGCCACATTTAATGGTTAGGAAAGTCAGCAGGAGTGATTGACACTCGCCCAGCTCTTGATGCTAGTTATGCAGATGCTAGTTCAGCCTAGTAGACACATTTTTACTCTTCCTCATAGTAGGAGGTTTGTTTGCTCAGTGTTCACTTTACGTTTTACTTCTCGGTCATTTGCATGCCTGTGTACTTCCATTTCAGATTCAGCTTGGTTTAAGGATTTCTTCCATAGTTGACTTGAAGATCACCAGAGATACCTCCCTGGAGGTTGTTTAGCAGCATTCAGCATGATCTGATTCCTCTTGAGCTTGGAAACTTTCCTGGTGGTGCTATTGAGAGGTAGTGTCCCTGGTAGTGTCTGGAGGCTATGGTTTGTGTGTGTGTCTTCCTGGGTCCATTATCAGAGGTTTGGTTCTGCATTCTTTTGTGGGTCTTAATCTCCTCTTTTTGTACTTGGTGACTTTGCCCTGTTTCTGCATACGATTTTACCTTTGTTCCCTGTTTATGTAAGACCCTTTTTGCTCTTTATTTTCCCTTAAGGAACAAACATGGGGGTGTCTGCTGTAAAGTAAAGCATTGAGAATACAGTACCCACATTGCAATGCCTCTTTCTGAGCAGGCTCTCTCTTCCTCCCACTCTCATCCTTTTGGCCCAGGCTTTCCCAAGCATGCTTGGGTGTCTCTTGCTTGAGGTTACCCAACACCCTAGACCCTGCAGTGTATCCAACTGGCATTAGCCACGTTGGCTAGTTTATTGATAGTTTGCAGTGTATTAATTAGCTATCTTTATTTTGCCAATTATTGTATGGAGGTGGTGTTGGACAGTTATATATCTGCTCTTTAGTGTCTTATCAAGCAGCATTCCACTGTCTCCCTACTCTTTTTACTGTGTGATAAAGCCATTCAAGTTACTTGCCACAGTGGGCTTAAGGTTGACCAGGACTGGCATGTGGTCAGTATTCTGGGTGGACCCTGACCCAGCTTGTGTCCTGGGTGGACCCCCTGATCCTGCCTTGTGTTCTGGATGGACCTCCAGACCCTGGCTTGTGTTCTGGATGGACCCTAACCCTGGCCTGTGTCCTGGGTGGACCCTGACCCTGGGAAAGAACCAAGGACCTGCTGAGAGAGGGATGTTTAAATATTCTCAACTCATTATTTTTATCTAAATATTGACTACATTATTTTATTTTTATAATAGGTCTTCTTTATTGACTTCGGTTACATGGAATGGGTGTCAGATGATCAGCTGCGTCCCCTCGCTGCACAGTTTACGCATACTCCTCCACAAGTAAGATTTAAATATTTATATTAATTAAACCCATGTACAGTGTTGAGGGAAAAAGGGTTGATGTAAAGTTAGCATCATTAATACCTGTGATATACAGCCCAAGCAAACATCAATTTTATGTAGGGATGCTTAACACAAGATACCATACCACTCTGGCTTTTGTAGTGTAGGTTTTATTTAAGAATCTCCTAGGAAATATACAGTATGTTCCAAGAACAAGAAATGTTAAGCTTAAATTTTAAATAATTTTTTAGTGTAAATAAGTCATTATGACAATGTATTGTAAAACACAGTGAAATTAGTGTAGTGAAAGAGCTGTCAGTAGTGTAGTGGATGGCACTCACCTGCGCGTCTCATAAACAAGACTGATCTGAGTTTTAAGTCCTGGGCAGGCAGGGATGGCTGTGCACTAATCTTTCAATATTTGATCCTATTCAACCTGCGATGATTGGGAACCGGGCTACAAAACGATTGAGCGTGCTTTGGGGAAAACAAGTAGGGTAATGATCAACCAGGCTGTGACTCATACGTCAGGCTGCGAGCAGCCGCGTCTAACAGCCTGGTTGATCAGTCCAGCAACCAGGAGGCCTGGTCGACGACCGGGCCGTGGGGACACTAAGCCCCGGAAGCACCTCAAGGTAACCTCAAGGTAACCTCAAGGTATGATTCAGATGAGCAGAGGAAAGGGAAGCTCTTAGCTTATAAACAACATTCAAATGACCTCTACTTTTGTACCAACCAACTCCTGCTGCTTTGAAATGCGTAGAAATATAATGTAATAGTTTCGCATTGCTAGGGACAGGAGGCCTGTATTTAGGCTTGTTGTGGTCCTAAGCCAACTACTGATCTTTCCCAGGTTGCAACCTACAACATTTGCCTAAATCCTGGGTTTCTATTTACTGCTTGGTGAACACAGACATCAGGGGAAAGGAAATGTGCCCTTATTATTATTAACATCTTTAGGCAAAATTAATTAATTTTGTCAATAATCTGAGGATTTTGATTAAGTCTTATTAAAGTGAGGATAATCAACTCTGTCCTTATGTGGAACAACAACAAATGAACCCAAATTATGAGCACAGTTGCAACCAAGAATTTCAAATTATTCAATGAATAATCAATTATTCAATGAATAATTAATTGAATAATTAAATTATTCACAATTATGCATATTGTGAATATTATGTCTCAGAATAAATTACATGTCCTTGGAGAAGTAAAGGGTAAAATGACAAATCTATAGGTTTGTCATTTTAGGACTATACGAGGTCCTTCACGTCACTTGTGACTGCTACATCAAATTGATCAGAAACTCCTGAAAAGTGTGGACTTTTGGATGTCTCTGAAATCAAACCCTGTTTTTCCCATATATTGAAGTTTAATTTGTGTAGTACTGTATTAAATTGTTGCCTCTATACATAAACATATTGTATGATGCTCCTGTGCTCAGTTGGGTTAGCCCATACTCACTTCAAGAGTCTGCTTACATTCCTTTCCGATGCAATGGCCTTCAGCTGCTGTGAGTCGATCCAGAACAAAACAAATCCACAAGGGCCGTGACGAGGATTCGAACCTACGCCCGAGAGCATCCCAGATGATTATCAGCCTTAATCGACTGAGCTACGACATGTTGAACTAGCTTTTGTTCATTTGATACATCACGCTATTGTGAGTTCTGTGTGTGTGTGATCCAGAACACTGTTGTCTGGAAATAATGGCTCTGGCATTTGGAGTTCCTGACAAGTAAGGATCAGTAACAGTATCCTCATCACACTCACACATCACTAAATTCCTTCAACTGCAGATCCAGCAGACTCCATTCACAAAACTGACATTGCATTGGTCGTATTAAAATTTTTAATTTTCTCGTAAAATATTGTTTAAATTGATTTCAGGCTTTGCAGTGCGGGTTAACTGGAGTGAAACCTCCACTTGAAGGGTGGCACCCTTCAGCTGTCAAATACCTGAGGGAACTTACTGAGGGCTTTACATTGGTTGCTCATGTCAATTATGTTGACAGGTAAGATGTATATGATAATTTATATTAAAATTTGTAAATTTTAGAATATTGAATAGACGTGAGTCACTAATTTACACGTATCTAGTTTGTAATAACTCCTAATTTACACATTTTGGTATAAAAAGAGACAAATTAAGTTTCCATAAATACATAGGCACAATGAGTATTATTTAAAGTTCACAGTTTAAACTGAGCTTAATTTGCAATATGGTTATACAGCACACCAAGCCAGGGTGATGTGCTCTGAGGCCACTCTTCACTGCCTGGTTCACTTCAAGTTGAATGAATGGCTGCCATATGGTACTAATACAGTACAGATAACTTTAGATTCAGGAAAAACCTGTGTAACTAACAGTTTGGAAACACACATTATTGATTTATGGAACAAATTATCAGGTAAAATAATAAGTATGAGATCACTTGATTGTTTCAAGTGTAGTTTAGACATATGATTGAATTTGGGTGGATGTAACTATGAGTTCTCATATGGGTCCATTGGCCTTCTGCAGTTTCTTATGTTCTCACACTGTATTAACGCTCAGTTAGTACATGGTGTGTTTCAACACAAATAATATAGTCCATTAGGTGATGATTGAGAGTGAAAACTGTTTTACAAGAGTGCATTGGATTGTAGGAACATTGAAGGTAAATTAAATTACTGTATTTTTTTTTTTTTAGTAATGTAATTGTCAAATAACTATGGTATTCTTTTTTTTGTATTATTCTGTCTTATAATACAGGATATCAAATATATATTATAGATTATGATGTAATAATTTTATCAGAAAAATATTAATGCAGTCACAAGAGTGAATCATCATCATAAATCTCTTAACTTATGCAAATGACTACTCATCTCAGTACACATACACATCACCTTGCAAACTCTCCAGGTACAGTACTAACAAGGATTAAATCAAGAGGGACAAACTCCCAGTGTATACTGTACTGGGAGTTTACTCAAATTTTGGATACTGTTCAAGACTTAACTCTACTTTTTGGTTGTTCAGTAGGCTATTGTGGTGACCTTAATAATCCTCCTTCAGGTATATGATAGATCTTAAGCTGAATGCTAAACATCTTGGTAAACATTCCCAGAATGCCCTAGGGCTGCTGGCTGGGTTAGTACTGAGCGAGCAACCATGGGTGGCGCATGTGCCTCTGGCTCCCAAACACCTATCCGATGCGGTGTTGAAAGATCATGCTCTGTCGGTGAAATTCAAACCTTATTGTTTGAAGAACATAAGGGTCATATTATTGGTGAAGCTAGGCGCAATAAGGACCTAACACAAAGGTCGGATGCAAGTGATACAGCACCTATGAGGACGATACAGCGAGTGTATCCAGTTGTAGCTCTGAGCGCCACCCTTGCCCACCTATGCTATCTCCAATTTATATAGATGATACATAGATGAATTGTTTTCTGCATTCAGTGATGATGCATCTGATACAAGTAGCATAGATGAACAGTGTTAGCGGCTTCCATGGTGGTGTTTTCCATAGATATTTTCAAGAATAGCTGAATCTCTTCTTGACTGACGGACACTCTTCGAAGCTGGCTTCTGGCTTTGAGGCTTCTTCTCTTCCTGCGTGGGACCTTACAAAGCGATCTTTTCACGACTGCCTTACAAATTGATCTTTTCCTATAATCTTTTCAAGACTGCCTTATGCTTTACAAGTTTGGCTACATAACACCTACAGGTACTAAAGCCAAGAATGTACGTGAGTGCGTTATTTGCAAGTGCACACAAGGAAGAAACAGGAAGCGAAAATCTATATGTACCTGGTGCAACGAGAGCGAAGATGTGCTGTGTACCATGGACTATGGACTACTTCATTGATTATTACTCACCTCCGAAGTACTGAGTGTGTAATACAGTGTGTTACTGTGTAAATAGTGTGTGAAATTGTACATATTGTTATTTTAGTGAATTTTTAACAAGTAATATTGCGACAATAAACATTGATTGCGGACACATGTATCACAGTTCCATGGAACATTATGAACGTTCAACTGTATACATATTGTAAAGGACACAAATATGCATCATATATCATAAAAAAACAAATAAAACCACATTGGAAATATATAGAACAAATAATTGAAAATATATTTGTGGCAACACCCGGTGCTTGAATGGCTCGTGCGACTGTGTCTGGGGGTGTCACGCACAGGCAACCAGCCCCTGATGACGTCACAGTGCACCTTGTCCACATCCTCACTACCAAAGTGGAATTTGTTATTTATTTTTACATAGAAATGTTCAGGGAAGGGAATTTATCATTTTACGAAGAAAAAAAATTTTTTAGGAACACGTGATTTCATGCGCACGGGGAATTTCACAATATACTCGGCATATCACAGTGGTTAATGTTACCATTATTAATTTTTGTTTCCATCCATCCATCTACCTACCTTCCTCAAATTCTTTTGTGTTCATTATAATGGGGTGGGTCAGCTGGAGGATGTTTAGCAAAACTTCACATTTTCATTATCACAAGTTATGGGTTCTTACTTTTACGCTGAAGGATACAGGAGCGGAGGTCCTCCAACTTCTTTGCAGGCTGCAGTTGCCCTCTCACCACTCATCTCAAGCCTTAACCATTCCTGGCTACCAGCTCTTCTCTCCTCTTCCTACCCTATTTCCCCCACTCTCACTCTCTTTCCCCATTCACTGACTTGACATTACTGACCTCTAATTTTGTACTACTTTAGTTACCTAGTGGTACCAACTCTCACTATTCCAATTAGCAAGAGTATATTGTTTTGTAAAATAAACTAGTGCATATTTTGAGTGTAGTGCTATGCATATTTAAAAACCATATTACGTACAGCATAGTAATGTAATGTAGGCACACAGTGTACTATACCGTAAATTTTAGTGTGGCATGCCGTTGTACTGTATATATTATAGGATGAAGTGTTCCCAGTATGCATATTATATATTATTCACAATGGCTCTGATCCTGTCCTATGTGGATTAAGGCCATCTATCTGGACAGGACATTTATAACACTACAGTCCTGTACTGTAAATGGTATATAATTTTTCTTAATTTATTCACATTTTCAGTATTATAACGATGATAAATTTTCTTTAACAGGGATCATCAGCACCTTGGTGTTACTCTTTATAACACGAATGATGGCAAAGACATTAACATAAATGAATGTTTCCTGAGGAAGCTTGAAAATAAATTGTAATAGCAGTTTTGTATATAGTATTAGGTGTTTTGAGCATTGTTATTTTTGGTAGGTTAGAAAAGCGATACCTGTACAGATTGTATAGACTACGTATTTTTTTCATACAGATTACAGTACTTAATTTTTTTTTCTAGTTGGGAAGGAGCCTGCCCAAGCATGAAACCAATTCAGTACAGAAATACTATGTACCTTTGTAAATAATTATACTCTTTGGTTGGACTTCTAAAAATAATATTTTGGTACATTGTCTTTAATAAGAGTGGGCCTAAATTAATTTAAATGATTGAAGCATTTATTTTATGTTCTAAAAGTATTGTTGTCATTTTTGTGGAACTTCTGAAACCACCCTCCCCCCTTTCCCAAATTGTATGGTTAACCACCAGTAGTTTACCTGTAGTCAGTTTTGAGAGTACTCTCCCAAGGCTGTGAGCTAAACCACAGGAGGAAACATTTTAGAGCAAAAGTAAAGACTTACCAAACTATTTAAATGCAGATTCAAAACCTGATCATCGTGACTGAAGCACACGAGTAGTTCTCTCCCCAGCATGATGCTGTGCCAAATAATGAAGGAAGAAATACACTAAATAAAATGAAAAAAGTTTTGTTATCCCCCCTATTTTATTTTGTTACATGAAGAACACTCATTGTGTTCTGTCTTTATATAGTTTCATAATAAATTGTAAAATCTTATTGTTTTTAGAATCACATCACCTAGATTTTAAAGTGTAATCCATAAACAACTGTTAAAAATAATTCTTGGTATGTTTCCGTATATTTGCATATCGTAAATGTCGCCTTGTGTTCCAACATATTTAAACACTGTCACACTTATTATCCTTTTTAATATCATCATGCATTCCTCACAGCTTGTATGTTCTAATTCTGGCAGCCATTTTCTTGGAAATATTTTACTTGTTCATATTTGTCAAGGTGCCGGCACTTCAGGATTTATGTGTTGTAGAAATTTTTCGCAACATTTCTACAGCTATGTAAGAAATGCTGTACAGATATGCAAGGAAAGACTTACTCTAAAATTTGCCAGCATTGCATGATTCAAACTTTAGTATTCATGTGATTTTCTTTATCTGGTTTATCTGGATTACACAATCCATAGTTATTGAGCCAGTTATTACTGTTTCATCCCCTTTTGCATGACATTTGTCTTCATTAATTTTATGGTGTCCTCAGCCACCCATACAACACACTCTGACTTGTGAACATGACCCAATAGCACAGAGAATGAGCAATCTGGCCTCACCTTCCAAGCAAACATTATGATGTGAATGCTTACTTTGTGAATTTTTTAATCATCTTCCCTGAATCTCACGGTTTTGTGGGGTACTGTACTTTACAACATTACAATGTCCATCATCCATTCTTTCCTCTATTTTCTTGTTTTTTTATGAGTCTACAGTATTTGTATGGCTTAGCAGTAAAAATGTACAATAGTCCAATTGATGAAACATGGTCCTATGGCAGTCTGGATGCAATATAAAGTTGCTATTTTGGTTGTATGATCATTGTATAGTAATTGGTTGCAAAAAATAATTAACTCCAAGTGAAGTGAGTTCACTTAATGTATTTGAGAGACCAGAATGTGTTACCAAAAATATTAAATTTTTGATTGAAAAGGTACGTTCATTTAAAATAAAAGATGCAATGGAAGTTATTTTTCATTAGAGGCGTCCTACATAAATTGCTTCATTTGAGCAAGATTCCACCGCATGTTACACATAATGGTAAATAGAGAAATATAGAAAGCAACAGTGATTATCCAGCATCATGATAATGCCAAGTGTGCAATTTGTGAACAAATTCTTTAGTTTCTTTTATAAAGCTATTTAACAAAAATGTGTTTTTGGAAAGTAGAACCAATATAGATAAATGTTTGGAGTTTTTATTTGAATAAATTTGCATCACAACTTAGAAATGCTCCAACTATTGCTAAACTTGATACTAAACCAACTTTGACTTTAAAGCAGGTACATGAGCAAAAGTTGACCACAAACTGAGATCCATAACAGTGCATATTGTATTGGCTTCCTAGTATATTTGTATCATACTTCACAAACATTCCTAAATCAGATGAATGTCATCAAATACTTAAGACTACATGCTCCAGCTCCTGTTAAGATGGTGACAACTTTTCAGCTAGATTAACCAAAAGGTGTGGAGACAAATTCTGTTTCAGTGACTGAATGAATTGTTCATCATCAGCACAAGAGATATGTTGCAATGTATCACAAAGAACTTCAACTGCCCTCTTCTTGTCTATTGGACCAGACTGATCGCACTCTCCATTATTGCCAACTGACGCCGCCTGCAACTGTCTTCCAGGATGATACACAGCAGAAGTGTTCTTAGCCTTTACAGACTCTCTACCTAACACACTTGTTTGCCTGTCTCCTTCCCCTCTATAGTCATCTTCGTAATCCAAGACCTCGTTTATTTGTGCTCGGGGTAAATTTTGTTTTCTTGTAAAATTATCTATCCTCTCCATTGGATTTGTGATGATCATATCAGTTCTTGGAGTCACACCAAATATTTGGCTAGTTTGGGGATGATAGAACTGATCTCCACGTAAAATGAGGTTTGAATTTGATCTTTTTTTTCTAACTGCATTACTTTGCTGCCATAGTGGTTGCCTTTTATCTGAAGCTGTTAAAATTGAAGAAAACTCTGGCAGCTGTCCTTGAGAAGCCTTTTGTAACAATTCATTCACTGCTGACATCTGATTTTCTACTGTTGACTGTGGTGAAATATGCTGGTGGTTTATTGTTGGTTTGATATCAACTTTACTATGAAATTCTAAAATCTCTTTAATATCTGCAAGTCCAACAAGAAGTTTGGGAAAAGTTATCTTTGCAACAACATCACCATCTTTAGCTATTAAGTATCGCCGAAGAAGTTCTAGGTACTTGAGCTGAATATCCTGAATCTGTTGTGAATTCAGAAATTGAGGATCATCTGGCTGAAAAAAGGAAATCAAGCAGATCAATGCCAAAATAATTTCATCTTTGAGCTCTTTAGCATATTTATTATAGTATTTCATAATGGCATCAAAAGCTTCTGGTAAAACTGTAAATTTTTGAAGAGTAGCCATGGAAATTGGGGGAATTTTTAAAGCTTCTTTATTGCATTCAGCAGGCCACATTTCATTTTCATAATCGTACATATATGCACCGTGAAGATATATTGACGTGCCAATCCCATTCTTCATTAAAAGATTTTGGTCTGTTTTACAAACCTCCTGATAATCTTCAACACTCTGGAAGAACAGTCCTAGCTTCTTACATATAAAAACAAAAAGATTAGCTAATGCTTCTATGTTATCACCATAACAATCCTCTGGATAAGGAATGGACCTAAATGTAGACTCTTGAAGAGCAGCAAGATTCCTTAACACATCAGCCTCTTTGGGGTCTAGTGATCTTGGCAAGTCTCCATATACTTTGTCTTTAATCTTTTCTTCTTGGACATGACGTTGTTTAGCAAGTCTGTTCTTCCATAGCACCATGCGGTCAGTTTCCGACATCACCCAGTTAATCTCCATGCCATTCTCTTGACTTTTCTTAAATCTGCCAAAGTAAAATACAATTTATTTTGAATGTATATTAGATGGTTTCTTAACCTTATTTGTATAGATTATATTTTATTTGGACAGGGTTATGTCATGAATGAATGTACTATTTCTTTATCTTGTATTTTTTTTTTTTACAATTATTTGCTTTTAAACAGTAAAGAGGAATATCACGAAGAATGGTTCCATTACTGCTTTGTAAGACATCACTGAATGGTACTGTAAGTGGCTTACAGTGCCTCCCAAAGATGCCAGAGATAAAACAATAGTATAGAACATTCAAGGGTAAAAGGAGTTGGTCAATTGGTACAAATTATGAGTAATTTACATGAGTAATTATGTTTGTAAAGATAATGATATTGAAAACAAATGAATCTGAAAGAGATGGGTGATCTTATGGAATGTTCTAAGGAAGCATGTAGTGTTACAAACTGGTAGAAAGGCAAAAGGACTGTCTTTCGTTGTTTTGATTCTATCTAAAAAAAAGTATATTGCGACAATATATGCATAGAAAGCACATTGGGGTGGGGGGCGGGGTAGAAATAGCCAAAGCTACTCTATCCCTTTGAGATGTATTTTTTTTTCTTGTCTCAATAAACATACTTGAACTTTAAAGCACATTTGCTTTCAGTGGGATGAGACAGTGGTAAGAATAAGAATAATAATAAAAAAATACGAGGCCTTTCTGGGCTGTTCCCTCCCCCCCCCTCCCCCCACAGAAGCTTCATGTTACATTGGTACTGTATAGGTAAGCCTTAACCATACCATTCCTCGGAGACTCAAATCTGGCTCTACGAGGCAAGGGGATCTTTGAAATCAAGGGATATACCCCAAATTTAGAAAACAAATCTGAAAGGTTAATTAAGCAACACAAGCTACGGTTTAAAACTGGCCTCATTAGTGTTGCCTTGATGAGGCAAGGGGAAATAATCTTTGTTTTTCTAATTGCCCACCGCTTGGGCAAAGTACTGCTTCCCTTGGCATGTTAATATATTTGTTTTTAATTTTGCCCCGAGGGCCGCGTTCATTGCGCAGCGTCATTCATCCTATGTGTGAACATACCGCCATAGCAGCATGCACAACACCCCCAATAGGAAGAAAACCCGCTGGGTTGTTCGTCCTTCCACTTGGATGAACAACCCAGCTGCAATATTGGGTTGGTTTGGTGTGCCACTAACTGCACCCACTGACAGGAATCCTATCTTGAGATGATTTCAGGGCTTAGCGTCCCCGTGGTCCGGTTCTCTATCAGGCTTCCTTTTTGTTACACACCCCCACGAAGCAGCCCATAGCAGCAGTGCGTAGCCTGTATATATCTAACTCCCAGGTACCTATTTACTGTTAGGTAACAGAGGCATCAGAGTGAAAGAAACTCTGCCCATTTGTTTCTGCCTCCACCGGGGATCGAACCCTGAACCTCAGGACTACGAATCCGAAGCGCTGTCCACTTAGCTGCCAGGCCCCCTATCTAGGTCATTGGACCGCATGCCTGAGAATAGAGCCTTTCTAAATTTCGAAATCGCTTTTAAATACTGTACATAAATGGGGAAATTATTCACAACATTTGTGAGAAATCGGAATTAGAGTATGCAATATTTGTGTGATGTCCACGCGTGTAAAAAAAAAAAAATACCAAATGAATTCCAGGCCTAAAAGACAAGAGGAATGAGGAAGGACGTGTGGTGGTATTATTATACACGCATAAGCTATTGTACCTGGAGTGCTTCAAAGAGGAGTTCTACTTCCTCACGCCTGGCTGGGGTTAGGCTTGTCTTGTGGTAAATAAGACAAGCCTAATCAATAAGTAAATCTAAAAGCCTGTTGCTTGGATAAAACGAAACAAGAAAATATGATAACTACATACAATATTGCAACAGGAATCAACAAAGTTACGGAAACCTACAGTGACTCAAGCAAGGGGGGTCACATTCTGATAATAACAGAGTTTGTTACAAACTTTGTTTTCAGCCAACACACAGCACCTCTGTTTAAATCTCTAAACATACTAAACAGACCGACACTTCACACATTCTCTTGTGCTATTTACATGTATAAAACCTTGTTCCTAAATGCAAATCCTGATCTGAAACTCTTCCTTGACAGATGTAATAGAACCCATAATCACCATGCCAGAAATAAAATGCAAGCGCTTTGATTTCCCCGAGTCAAATTAAATCTATGCAAATAAAGGGACCTATAGTCTATGCAACTCACTCCCTAACGACTTAAAGAGCTGTCCAGTCTATGTCCTATTCAAAAGTAAAACTAAAAAGTACTTAATTTCATGCTCATGGTTTCCTACCTGCAGCTAGTGCTTCAAACTCGCACTCTATCTTATGCTGCCCACTCCATCTAATGTATGTGCCTAAGACACGCAACCTCACCCTTGTAAAATATTGTAGACACTGCTATCATCTTATATCATATTTGTTATGTTGAACGCAAATTTTGCTGCAATGTACTTATTAATAAGCCTCAAATTATGCTACATTGTACCCGTTATAATCCTCAAATCTTACTACAATGTACCTATTAGTATTCTTGAAATTGACTTATGTACCTATTAATATTCTTCAAATTTTGCTACAAATTACCTACTTAAAAAATCTATTTGATTAAGGACCTGTCCGAAATACTATGCGTGTTATTGGATTTGCAAGAATGTATTACAACAATGCTATGTACTCTCATAAACCCAATGTACCTTCTTGTATATAAATAAATCAATAAATTTTAAAGATGTTATGAATTCTCACCTGCAATACTGACAAACTTTTCTGTTTTGTTTTGAGATTGGACATATCTTGTTCTCAGGACACTGGAAACTTTTGTAGGCACCACTCTGCACTGAACGTCGAAAAAAGGCTTTACATGAATCGCAAGCCATCCCTCCAAAATGCATGCTCCTCGCTGCGTCCCCACACACTCCGCACCTTTTATCTTCCTTAGCTTTCTCTTTTGGTTCCTTTTTGTATCTCTTTTGGTTCCGTTGGTGTTCATCTATAGGTGTTATGGTTTCTGGAGTATATTTCTTATTGGATGGCGTATTGTTGTTGTTACTGGTTGGGGAATATTCTTGGCTGCTGACAGATTCTGAACAAAAAGAGCTTTCATCAACATCGTGTTTAACAATATCCACAGAATTCAACAACTCTGGACTGTTGTAGTCATCTTGGTGGTCCCGAGTACGACAACTCAGTAGCACTAATGGCTGATCAGATGGCTCAAAATCTGACCCTGCAACTGAATGATCGCTTGATTGCACATATCCTCGCTCAGTAGGATGGCCTTCCCAATACTGGGAATCAAAAGCTCTTGGTTGAGTTTCCAAGCACATGTCATCAGTCCACCACTCCAAATGGTCTCTATTGTTTTCTGCTAATTTGACATCTATTTGCTGAAGTCCCTTGTATGGAGGAGTTCCTGAAGTCTCGTGATCTGGGTAGAGGGAGCTTCCCACTGTAGAGTGCGCATTGTACCAATACGATGTAGTTGGCAAGGAGGGAAGGTTCAAGCCCTCCACAGCTTTGCTGCCCGACTCCCCGAAATGATAGTACCCGTCTTTGGACATACTGTACTACCTCACATCTGAAAGAGGGAAAAAGTATTAGTTACCTAGACTGTTATAATTATTATTATTATTATTAATTATTATATACAGTATTAAACTCTGACTCCAGACTTCAGTGAACAGACACCCATTCTTTATGGAAGTTAGGTCTCTTTTTGTGGTGTTGGTATAGAGCAAGGTACCACTCAAAAATGCTGACAAGCACAATATTATGTTAAATCCGTATGTAAAGAACTAGGAAGAGGACAGTTGCAATCTTCATGTTCTCTGCAATCTTCCTTGCAACTGTTGCAGCTTCCAATACTTGTGCAGCTACTTAAGGCTCACTCTGGAAATGCTTTAAATTTTTTTCCTTTGGAAAATGGGCGAAAAGTTATAACATAGGTATGCAGTATAACTATGAAAAAAATATATCATTGAATTACCAAAAACTACACAAAATTTAGGTGTGAAATGCAGGCTCGTGAGACAGCTTTGGCTCATTCAATTTGTCTCTTCATAATGAGTCAAGCTCATGTGCTTCCCATCACAATGATCCCACCCCAGCACGTAATTTCGTACATATTTCTCTATTTTGCATTTCAAACTTCCACCTTCACACTCACATGCCTCAATCAATAGTCATTGTCACAGCGAAATATAAAAATAACACGTACGAAAAAGTAGCTACCAACAGGTTAAAATACATTATTATCACTAAACTAGGAACAGGATAAATATCTTTGGTATTTCAGCTGCTACAGAAATGCCCAATGACATGAAATTTAAGAATGCACAAATACAAGGCGACACACACACTAGATTTAATGACAAACTAGCAGACTGTACCTTAAACCGAGAGGTGCAGAACTAATGTACACGACACACGGTAAAGAAATGCATTAATATTTTAGATAATGCAAAAACTAAACTCTTTAAATATAAGCCAAAACAACCCCTGCAAAAAATGGTACACCACTTAAGATATCATGTATTTGGTATTGACATTAACAATATATTTACATTGTGTTTCAAGTTGTTGAAACAAATAGTAACTGCTTCTCAAAGCGGTGAAATTTCTGTGGGGAGAAAACGTATTACCATGAATTTGTGTCTAACCGACTTAGTAGCGCGCGCGCGCGCATCGAGCGGGGTACTTAAAGCGCGCCCTCGGACTCGGTGACCTCTTGTTCGTCTCTTCCTCGCCTGATACACTACAAAACGCCCACCCTCCTCCCGGGATCCCCTGCATCCCCTGTTTTACTTTCCAAGGGAAGACGCTAAAGCAGTTTGCTGGGGACACTTGTTCCATCTTGCAACGAATTTGTGTTACCTTTGGGGGTGCTCCGACGGAACCCCCAAAGTGATAAGCCAAGAATACCAAGAATTGCAATTACCGTAAATTCAAATCATGCAACTTTCAATCACTAATTAGAGATGTCACTTCACTGTATTTGAGCTACCTCATCCCTTTGTGTGTATTTTACCTCAATAAACTTATTTCAATTTCAATTTCAATTTCAAGCGACGGTGTTGGACTGAAAACAGGGGATGATTCTTCACCCAGGGTTTATATTTGTACCCAAGGAATCGCCTATCCATCGAAACCGTAAATGGCAGAACGTTGCCGAACTTTAAAATCCAGCTTGAAAAAATCATCAGGACAAATGCAGGTACCTTTGACAAGTCTCGTGGACATTTGACAATGGTGGGGGGGGGGGACCTTTGTTCTCGACGAGGACAAAGCGTGTTGCCGCACGAGACCTCCCGTAGCCTGTTGCCGCAGACCTCTGCAAGAAGTCACACACGCTGACATACCAAGACATATTATCGGAGACCTCTGCCAACGTGTTGCTAGAGAGCAGAAGCGGTGTTTTGGTACCGTGACGATACTGTATAGGACTGCCCCATGATTTACCGTTGGTTAGACGACGTTAACCGACGTCTAACCAACATCTAACGTAAGAGCAGTTTCTGCTCACACGAATCAAATAGGTAATTAATCAACCTGTCCTCTTACAAAGAACGTCGCATTTCTAGCGTATGCATTACATACGGAAAAAAAAATTTCGAACTACAAAATAGAAGCGGCTCGCGAAAGTGACGTACTGTCCCGTTTTCTGCATGGGTCCTCATGCCCTACTTAAAGACTGGTAGGGCATGAGAGGATACTTTAAAATGACAGTTTTCTTGACATAAGGAAACCTTAGGAGGACGGGGCTGGATGAAAAGTCTTGGAATTGTGTGACGCTCCCCACAGACAGTGGCACTAAATGTGACGACATATTACCAAGACAATTCACGATACTGGTGTCAATCCACATTCCACAATTATGACAGCATATCGCCCCCCCCCCCCAAAAAAAAAAGTAGATAAGTTTTGTATAATTTAATTCTGGCTCTAATTTTTAATGATTGTTGTCGTGTACATCAATTGTTATTGCAGAATGCGTAGTGTTCAGCCCCTTTCATTGAAGGCAACTAAGAAACATATTGCAAGTTTAAATACATGGGATGTTGATAACTAAAATTTACAAATACGGTACAACACAACTTGCAGTCCTCAAAACTGGTATAATTACTGACTAATCTCTCACAACTTTATGACACACTTCACCTATTTGGGTCCCTTTACCACGCAGATGGCGACCACAACTTAAGAAATATAAACAAAGGTTAACACTGAAAAACTTGTACAAATATGCAAGTCCTATCACAACTACAACTGTTGCTTCGAATTTGAGGCGCCTAGCTGAAGCCTCCGTGGCTAACCATTCTTTCTACTTCGTACATTATGAGGAGATAGTGTTGTGTATGACAGTGGTAGAGGCCAGCGACCCCCGTACATCTAGGGCGAAGCCTACCCAGCGACTCTCTACACCCAGGGCGAGGCCTACCGGCTCTTCCTGATATAGCGGCAGGATTAGGCTAGGCGTGACCTAAATTCGTATATGAATACTGCTCAGTATTACTGCCATTAGTCTCACCAGTTTCTTACATACAACCTATGTATTACTGTTCCTAAATATACATGTATATATTTTTTTTATGCACGACGATGCCATAATAAAACTCATATACATATTACTATTGTTGATGTGACGACTTATATTGAATTTTGTAACTAGCTCATCAAGATTGTAACTTGCTTAGCTAAATGAATTGTGGGGTTCAGTCCCTGAGCCCATTATGTGCCTCTGTAACCCTTTCCACTACCGCCCACGGGATGGGTATGGGGTGCATAATAAATGAACTAAACTAAACATATCACTATGAACTTTTCATTCTCCTGGGCAAAAAGAGACTCGAACCACGAACCAACAGAACACCTATAACCGAATCCATACCTAAATATGCACAATATGCTAATATATATAATATTAATTTACATATGAATAAATACATATTTTGAATGAACAGCATATTAACATTTATGAATCCGTCTTTGGGGTCGACTGCTGGATGGAATGAACATAGACTGAGGACGGGTTGCTCCATAAAAAAATACAAGGGTTTTCCCTAACTAAAAACGAATCCATTCAACCTACCTAACCTATTTAGGCGGACGCAAAGAAAATGTCAATATTGCGATCCTTGAATTTGAAAAACGTGGAGCGCTTTTAATGGTTTGATCAATTCCGTAGAAAGTTCTTAAATACTTAAAAACGTATTAAGCGGGAGGACGGAATTAGAGGGGAAGTGTGTGACCCGCTCTGTGACTCCCGGACGGTGAGATATACCCGTCTGGGATCTTGGTTGATTGATTAATGAAGATTAAGCCACCACAAGAGGGAGGCACGGGCATGAATAGCCCGTAATGGATCTCGATTGATTGGTTGATGACGATTAAGCCACCACAAGAGGGGGGCACGGGCATGAATAGCCCGTAATGGATCTCGATTGACTGATTGATGAGGATTAGGCCACCGCAAGAGGTGGCTCGGGGCATGAGTATAGCCCGTAGGTGGTAGATGTTTGGAGTAAATGTGGTCTTTGGTGACGGTGCTGGGATATCAACTGTTCATCAAATACACACACAGTTTACACACACACAATAACACCAACATTAATAAATTTACCGATGGCACTGAAGCAAGACAGTTAATAATGCAGGTGATGAGTCACAACAACGTGGCTGAAGTATGTTGACCAATCCACACACTAGAAAATAAAGGGACGACGACGTTTCGGTCCGTCCTGGACCATTCTCATGATGTGAAACAGGAGATGTTACTGTAGTCTCATGCTAATCTTCATCCCTGAAGCCATCAACACTGCCAAAAAGGTGTCCAGCTTTCTGGTCAAAAAGGTGTCCAGCAGCTGGACACCCTCATAAATACTGGCAAGCAGTACCCTCCCCCGCGATAGCAGCCTCACGATTAAATGCGACCTCAACACAAAGTATACATTTACTTAAAAAAAAAAACTACCACTTGCAGGGTAGTCATGCCCGTGCCAACTCTTGAGTGGCTTAACCTTCATCAATCAATCTCGCTCCCAAGTTACAGCCCAGCTCCTGTGCCAGGCTGTACTACGGGCTCCACTCAAGTCCACTACGGGCTCACCATTGACTGTGCTACTTTGGAACTTTTGTTCCGAGTAGCTGAATCAAAAACAACATTGAACCGATCCTCACGACACTGGAAGACAGAAGGGTTAGGGAAGACATGATCAGTATTTATACAATTCTCAGAGGAATCGTCAGAGCAGATAAAAAACAGATTAGCACGGGTGGGACGCGAACAAGGGGACACAGGTGGAAACTAAGTACCCAAATGAGCCACAGAGACATTAGAAAGAACTTTTTCAGTGTCAGAGTAGTTAATAATAGATGCTGTGTTTAATTAACCACAGCATTAAATAGTGATGTGGTGGAGGCTGACTCCATACACAATTTCAAATGTAGATATGATAGAGCCCAGTAGGCTCAGGAACCTGTACACCAGTTGATTAACAGTTGAGAAGCGGGACCAAAGAGCCGAAGCTCAATCCCCGCAAACACAACTAGGCGAACACACTACACCAGGATTAATATTTC